TTTTTTGGTTTTTCTCCGGTACCGGGAACCGAACTCACGACCTTGCGCTTGCCAGGCAGGCGCTTTTGCCACTGAGCTAAATCCCCAGCCCCAATAGCCACAGTTTTGATGGAAGACATTTCACATATAGAAAGGCAATTTTCCAGATTATTGGAAACAAACTTATTTCATGTTTTTACCTTACCTATAGATTGGTCACTGCACTTTTATCTGGTTATAATTTGAAAGTTTTTTCTACTCTATCACCATCGTAGCCTAGTATAAAACTTAAAACCTTAAAAGTTATGTTTTCAAATTGTAAGTATGAACTGCCAGTAGAGAATTAAAATAAGTTTCATAAGTTATTAGCTTTTTTCTTAACAAATCAGAACATATAAATTTGCAAACAAAATATACCAGAGTATCCTTTAAAATTTGTTTCAATTCTGTGTGTGTGTTCAATGTAAATTTTCCTTCCAAGTATGAGCAATAATTAAAAAACTGAAAAATCCTGATCAAAAGGACACCAGTACTCCAATTTCCAATATACAAAAAACCACAGTGCAAAGGACTGTTGTTCCACTTCCTTACAATTAATTACTAACTTACCCTATCAAGTTTGAGTTTGTCTACATCAGCTAAAAATGGGTTGACTGCTTTCTCACCAACCACCTTCAAAGCGGTACCCAATGCTTCAAATGCAGCATCTCTGACTTCAAGAGCAGAATCATTGATGTGCTATACTCCGGAAAAAAACACAATAATCTTTAATACAAAGTATACCTTAGGTGTTAACTAGTTTTAATTCAGGCTGAGAGTTATTGGACAAAGAATTTGCTTTTTATAATTTACTAAAGCTAACTGTTGGCTGTCCTTTCAGCAGTTAACATCCATTCTTTCACAAATTCTTTCTGGGTTAAAGAAACCTGTGGTTATCTATTCAACAAGGATGTACTTTCTTTTCCCTTTGCCTTCTATCTAAAATGCTTCACTTCTAAAAGCTCCAGATTTTTTTTTTTTTTCTTTTTTTTTTTTGGTCTTTTTGAGACAGGGTCTCGTCTTGCAGTTCAGGCTGGACTTGAGCTCACTTTGTAGCCTAGGCTGGTCTTGAACTCATAATGATCCTCTTGCCTCAGCCTCCTGAGTGCTGGGATTACAGGTGTGTGCCACCATGTCCGGCCATGTATGATATTTTAAAAAGGCTCTAAAAATAAATAAATAAATAAATAGGCTCTAATAAACTACTTAATTTAAAAACAAGGCAGAATCCGGATTCTCCACAACAGTTTTTTTTTTTTTTCCAGTATCAGGAATCGAACTCACGACATTGCGCTTGCCAGGTAGGCACTGTGCCGCTGAGCTAAATCCCCAGCCCCTCTCCACAACAGTTTTGTTACCAGGTCCTAGGATT